ATAGAATTTTACTTTTAAAGTTTAGCAATTAGTTTAATTAAGTTAGTCTTTTAATTGCATTTTATTTAACATTCAATCATTTATTCTAGATTCAAATTTTGTACTTCACTTTTGTTGTTTAAATTGTAGTTTACATTATAATTATAAGAATTTACCTATAAGCGTTTACAACTTCACAGTGAGATCAATATCTAGGACTCCATTAGAGCCCTTTATTACTTAGCGAAACGTATACTTGTGTTATTTTTAGGGGATTTGACAATTTAAAAAATTTTAAAAAGAAAATACTATTTTCACTAAAGTTATTTTTGTTGGGATTAAATTGCATATTTACTATTATATCTGCCGTGTGTATTTTGTAATATTGAAAAATATTTGCAAAAATAACACATTAAACTCGCCCGCATCAGTGGTACCTTCTTGAAGTACTTTTTATTTTGAATGGCTTCTACTAACTCTGCAATAGAGACTGTCAAAAGAGGGGATATCAAGGTTTCATGATCATTCAATAGCTGCTCTTAATAATGAGCTGGCCACTAGTCAGGCTATTAGCTTAACCTCCTTCATTGTGGTTCATGTCAACCCCTTATTATCCCGAGACGACCAATGATCTTCATATCATGGCTGAATAGAAGAATGTAAGTCTTCTCTTGGTCTCCATTTGTCATCTTTGGAGGCCCTTACCTATAGACGACTAGTGGCTGACTCTACTCTGGCAGAAGTATGAATGGAGCTATATTTTTTGGCAAAAATATGATTGTTGGCAAAATCCAATAATATAGCTAGATTTTTTGGTCGTTAAAGACCCAAAGCATAGCGGAAGGGTTTCTCTTTTCAGCCTCTAAGCTACAACGACGTGTGCTGCTATGAGTTCCAGATCCCACACTTCCAACATCACTTTCTGAAACCTCATGACGAACGAGCGAATAGATGACCTATTCAGACAATGCTAAGTGGTTAGTTGAACCAGTTTGGTCCTTGTAAGACTTCCATGATCCTAAATTTCTCAAGGGGTTCTTCTTAAAATTGGCTGTCTGTCGAATTGTGCCAACCCAACACAGTGTTGGTATTGGGAGTCTCCTTGTCTTTCCAAGGCCCAAGGTATCCTCCCGCCGCTGGGG